TGTCTGCAGAAGAGGGGAAACAAACCAGAGCCCCTCATAAATCAGTAGAGGTCACCGCCAAGAGCTTTGTACACTTGCTGTCCTTGGCAATGATAAACTCATTGCATTTGGGAAATGTCCAGAGACCCTGAGTCTGATCTTAATTCTCATTCCCAGAAAAATCACAGCTCTCGGCAACACCGCCCCCCCCCCCCCGCCACACACCCCACCCCTGTTTACTGTCTTTGTGTTTCCTAGACAAAGCTGGCAAGGAGGAAGGAACATAGTTCCATGGCTGGAGATCTCCACGGCTGCATTTCTTGGTGTGGGGGAGGAGAAGCAGGGCAGGGGATTCACAGGAGTAAAGAAGGTCCAGGCCAGAGGAAGGCTGAACTCTTGTGCCCTGGCAGCGATCTGAGGGATTCTGTTTTTGGTCAGACCTGAGTCTTAGTGCTATTCTTCATTGCTCCATTGGGAGATGCTTTGAGACTATAATCATGATGAGGGGTCAGCAATGGGGTTGGCAGGGAGAAGCACCTCACAGATCCACTGTCCACTAAATTGTGGTCACTCTCTGTCTCTCTCTGTCTCCCTGTTTCCCTGTCTCCCTGTCTCTCTGTCTCTGTCTGTCTGTCTCCCTCCCTCCCTCTCCCTCTCCCCCTCTCCCTCTCCCTCTCTCCCTCCCTCTCCCTCTCCCTCTCCCTCCCTCTGTCTCTCTGTCTCTCTCTCTCTCTGTCTCTCTTTCTCTCCCTTCTCCATACCGCCTTTGTCTTGAGACCTGGTTTTGGAGTTGGCCATACAACATAGGGAGGTAGTAGGTAGCAGGGCCTGAACTGCTCCTTGGTCTCCACACATCAACAGTGGACCCTCTGTTTGCTGGCCTTTCCATCCCTGCCCTAGATCATCCTTCCTATTCCAATCAGTCCGACTATACAACTGTGATACCACACCACCCCAGCGCCATGGAATCGGGAGACATTTTTATGGGTGTACTTAGTCTTCCTGCCTGAGTTTTCTGGTTCATCAATCAGCTTTTCCTACCCAGTTATCTGCAATCATACCACCTGTACTTGCTCTTTTTTGCATCCCTTAGCTCTATTGCCTATGTGGTTCTTGGTGTAAAGTCTGCTTTGCCCATTGAATCTTAGCTATGTGACAACAGAGTCTTCTTTGACTTCTTCTGGCTGTAACCTCAGTGCCTAACACAGTACCTGGCACCCAATAGACATTCAATAAATATTTGCTTAATATTTTCATGGTGACATGTTTAGGCCTCTTTTTATCCTTCTCTGTTTCAATGGACAGAGTCTTTCCTTTCTTGCCCACAAGACCATAGGAGTTAGGGTGGAAATTAGTTGCTAAGGTCAGAAGGGCTGAGTTAAGAAGGGTTCTCTTAGGCCTCTTGTGGAAACAGAAGGGGTAGTGGGAGATATAATACCAGTGATATAGATTCCCAGGAAGAGCCAAACCGGAAGCAGTTGACATGTTTGGAACAGGGTTTTGGAGAGGGTCCAAGTATGAAGATGACCATTTCCAAATGATTCAGGAGCTACCTGGCTCTGTCGCCTAGACAGAAGTGATGTGTGACACAGGAAAAGAGACAGGAGGTCATTTTCACCCAGGGTTACCATTTTACTTAAGAGCTAACACTAGACCAACATCAAGAGATGACAATCAAAGGCAAAGACCCATAACACCCTTCAGTGGGGACTCTGGGGCTGTAGACACCAATGAGCCAAGCTGTTTGCACTCCTTTGTGTGGCATGCAATCCTTTCCCTCCCATACAGAGAACAGAAACTTTAGCCTACACTAAACCACTGCCCACCTAGAGCTGGCAAACTTGCGAAGCATTCGATTCAGCTATGTGTATTTAGCGTGTTTTCTGCCACTTTAGCAAAAATACTTGTGTTGGTGTTCTTCAATAACTAAAGACATTTATTGAACCTGAACATCCCAGGGTTAGACAGCATGTATGTTAGGGCTCTGTCACAGCATGGCAGACAGCCTCAGGGCAGGAGTATGTGTGAGGAGAGATTACAGAGTGAGGCAGGAAACAGGAGGTAGTCAGGAGCCAGTCTCTCTCCTTTTTATAGCAACGTCTGCAGGAACTAACCTAGCCCTAGGAGAACTACATTCATCCTTTCCAAGGATACCAGAGGTGGCATCCTACCCCTAACCCCAATGAAACAACTACGTATCCCTTAAAGGTTTCATCATCACGCAACATTGCCAGTGAAGATGAAGCTCCCAGCACCTGAGCCACACACATATCATCGCACCATATAAATCCAAGGAAATGTTTGACCCTATAATGGTCACTTGCATCTATAAAAGATTAAAAAGCCATACTGTTCTCATCCCCCAGGAACTTATACTAGGGTCGGCTGGATTTTTATGTGAAACTTCCAGAAATGTGTTTCATAGGAAGTTTGTAGAATCAAAACACGTCTGGCCCATCAAAGTCATCTCAGCATTGAGCCACTGTGCAATTTCACTTGATTCCTTGTGTTCAGCCATTCTCATTGGGGAGGTTACTCATTGGCTTTTGTAAATATGAGGTTCTCTTAGGAAGCAGATTCCAAATGGACTCTCTCTTTTTTTTTCTCTTAATTCCTGTCTTTAAGTAGTTGTACAGAGGGGTTTCAGTCCAACACATCCACCAGGTATGCACACAGTGCATTCTGACCCATGTCATCCCTCCCATCATTCTCCCCCCTCCCTCCCAACTCCACCCAAATGGGATTCTTTGGGGGTATAGATGACCCTACGTGTAACCACAGCATTTAATTTTTTTCACTGATGAATATAGTAAACACTATGTTGATGGTATAAACAGTGTTTAATGTGTATATGCATGGTGGAATAACCAAGTCAAGCAATTTAGCATATGCCTTACCTCACAGACTTGGTTTGGGATTACCACTTAAAATCTCCTCTGTTTGCAGTTTTCAAAGGTGCAGCACCTGGCAGGGAGCTCAGGAACTTATGATATACGGTAGACCTCTTGAGCCTCTTCCTCCTGTCTAACTGAAATCTTGGGTCCTTTGACCAACAGTCCCCCAACCTCACATTTTTCCCCAGCAGCCTCTTCCACCACCGTTCTGCTCTGGGCTTCTATGTGCTGATACTTGGAGCTTCCATACATAAAGGCAGCCATGCATTATTTGTCTTTTTGCATCTGGCTTATGGCTGTTGGTTCATCCATGCCACAGGTAATGGCAGAATTGTTTGCTCTTTTAAGGCTGAACAGTATTCCAGTGTATGTGTGTGTGTGTGTGTGTGTGTGTGTGTGTGTGTGTGTGTGTGTGTGTGTGTGTGCGTACCTTTCTCCTTTGGGGGTTCTTCAGTTGATAGGCAGCCAGGCTGTGCTCTGAACTTCCTTTGATGCTGGCTAAAGGTCTCTGCATTCTCTGGGCATTGCACTGGCCTTGATTGGACAAACATCTTGAAAATATTCCACTCAGCTGAGGACCTGGCTCTGTGTAGAGCAGCCCAGGAAGAGGCCCCCAACCACAGATCCTGCCTGTCAACCATGGACCAACTCTACTGAGCATGGAAGGCTTTGCCCAGCTTCATGGAGTGAGCAATGAGGACCATAGAACTGGGGTTAATTAAGGCAGTGCTGACTCCCAAGTGAACCCCACCCTCCCTCCAAGCCCCTCTCTTGGGACAGTCAGACTTTTCTGTGCAGCTGAGGTAAATTCTACCGCAGTGGAGAAAGGAGCTTCTAGAATTCTCACTTTTAATGGCACAAAGTTTTTCTGCCCTTGATGTTAGGAAGGGATGGTGTGCTGGAGGTCAAGGGTGAAATCTGTCACCAAGACCAAACTGTAGCCTCTAGAAGCCCCAGAGAAGACACATGGCAACGCCATGTATCATCCTGCCTGCTTCTCCCGGATGCCATCCTCAGGTCTGGCATATTTGCCCACATGACCTTAGATCTAGTCACTCAGAGCCCCCATCCAAGACAAGATAGCAGCCCTAAGATGATCATCCTGCATGTGGGGATATTTTTAAACTTTTTATTTAGAGACATTTGTAGATTTCACATGCAGTTATAACAAATAATATAGAAGGCCAGGCAGGGTGGTATATGTCTGTAATCCCAAATAGTCAGGAAGTAGAGATCAGGAAGGATCATGGTTCAAAGCCAGCCCAGGCAAAAACCCAGCAGAACCCTATCTCAACCAACTAGCCAGATGTATGTGGTATACCTCTGTAATATCAGCTATGGCATAGTCATAGGTAGGAGGATCTAGACTGAGACTGGCTCAGACAAAAATGGGAGAGCCTATCTAAAAAATAACTGAAACAGAAAAGGGCTAGAGGCAAAGCTTCAGTGATAGAGAACCTGCTTCACAAAAACAAAGACTTGAGTTCAAACCCCACTACCATTAAAAAAAATACAAAGAAGAAAGAAAGATTATAGAATTATATCATTTATCTAATACACGCTACGGCAACATATTGAAAAACGATCATACAGTATTTCACAGCCTGATATTGGCCTGGCTGCTGCCCAGTATTCCCAGTTCCATGTATTTATGTATGTGTGTACGTACTTAGAACTTTATCATATGCATAAGATGTGTCAAGATATAGAACCTTCCATCACCACAAAGAACCTTCCTGTCGCCTTTTGAACCCCCCTTCCTCCTCCTCTCCTACCCCCTTCCCTCCTCCCTCCTCCCATCCTCCTCTTCTTCCTCCACCTTCTTCCTGGTAACTACTATCTACTCTCCTTTCTCTCATCCATCTTTCAAAAACACAGTAGAAATGCAGTCATACAGTGAGTGACCTGGAGATGGGTGTTTTCACCTTGAGATGCTTCCCAGTTGTTGAGGTATCTCAATCGTTTATTTCTCCTTATTGTACCTGGACCCAACTACTGCTTCTTTAGGACATGATCTTCATGGATCATTGAGTCTAGTTCATAAAACATACTCAGGTCCTTGGGCGGTCTTCTTTGGCTTTGGTTGACAATTCTTTCTCCTGTCTCACTGCCTTCTTCCATCCCCAGGAGCACATCTACAAACTGATGAAGAGTGACAGCTACGCCCGCTTCCTTCGGTCCAATGCTTACCAGGACCTGCTGCTGGCCAAGAAGAAGGTATCTTTGGGAAGGGCAGGCTTGCCTTTCTTAGCTCTGTTGATTCTCGCTGCTGCTTGCTGCTGGTGTGAAATGAGAAAAAATCATCCGTTGGGTTTTATTTTTCTCCTTTTTTTCCCCTTCTTTACCTGTTCCTCTCCAGAAGGAAACAGTTAGGATCGTTACCACCTAGCTTTCCCCCAGGGACCAGGCTGTCCCATTGCCTCTGTCTGCATGGTTTGTCCACCAGGTAGGCAGCTGTGACCAAATATCACAACCACATTAGCACAGCACACGATGCTGGGTTCACACTGACCCCAGAAAAGTCTTCCATCAGAGAGAGCTTTTCACTGCCAAATGTGGCCCCTTCCTCCTAATCCTCTCCCCCACCTGCCTAGAGAGGAGTATGAGGAAGATCAGGGTAGTCCCTCATTGGGTAGAAAGCCTTGTTGGTTTCCAAGAGACCATCATCAGTATTTGAAGTCACCTCTGGATTGGTCCCTCCTTCTCATACCCTCCTTCACCCTCATCCACCCCCACAGTTTTTCCCTTTTCTATCAACCAACAGGTAAATTGCACCCTATCTCCTACCTCCTCCCCCACTAAGAATGAAGGCATGCCTCCTACTGTCCTTAGAGTCATGGGTCTGGAGGGTCCAGGAAGCTGTGCAATGTGATGAATGAAGTTCATTCCTCTGATCCTCCTAGACCTCAAATTAAGGGATGTTCTTGGGGTAGAAAACCAATATCCTTGCCATCTGCAGTTCTTTTCCAAGACAATGACAGAACCTACATTCCCCCCTCCATTTTGTCCTAAGAATCTCCAGGCATGGGTGATCTGTAACTCATCATCTCAGTGGGCTTAGAGCGTCTTCTGATTTTAGGGTGGGCTCACCACGTGATTAAAGTCCAGGTCCTAGACCACTTCAGAGCCCTGGCAGGGAAGAGGAAGAATCTGCCTCACAAGTCTGCCAAGAGCAGCTCCTGGTAGATTTGGAGGCCAAGCCTGTGTGTCGATTCTTCCCCCATTTTTTCCTTTCTCCTATTCCAGAGGAAGGGAGAGTTGCTGTGAAGGACCAGATTCTCAAGGGATGGGTGAGCTGGGTTTTCAGGACTCTGGAACAATGAAACACCAATGAAGATGGGATCCAGGGAAGTTCAGGGGGACCAGGGCCAGCCAGAGGAGACAAACCCTCTGTGAGCTGCCACTCAGTGGCCAGGGGACAAGAATAATAGGCACAACATGGGCTGGGAAGGTGGCTCAGTGGTAGAGCACTTGCCTTGCACGCTCAAGGCCCTGGGTTCGATTCCTCAGCACCACATAAGCAAAAGAAAAAAGCCGGAAGTGGCACTGTGGCTCAAGTGGTAGAGCACTAGCTTTGAGCTGAAGAGCTGAGGGACAGTGCCCAGGCCCAGAGTTCAGGCCCCATGACTGGACCCCCCCCCAAAAAAAAAGAATAATAGGCACAACATGACAGACCTAGAATCAGCCTGACGAGCTCTCTCTCTCTCTCTCTCTCTCTCACACACACACACACACAGGGGCTACCAATAGGATTAAAGCTGAGCACTGCCATATTACTATGGTTCCCAGGCCAGGAAACCGGGCTCTTTAAGTCCTTGTACAAGAGGAAAGCCCACCCCTAGAATGGGGTGGCATGTTGTTGGCGTTGTGTTGTCCTTCTGCATTCTCCTACCTGTCTTCCTAGCAGCTTGCTGAGTGGCCCTGGCACGGCTACCAAGGAAGCCCTCCGACTCTGTCTGACAGGTGGCTGCCTTTGCCAACCTCCCCCCACACCCCGTGCACATCTGCAGACACCTGGCTGCTTCCTCAGCTACCCAGTTTCAGTTGTCTGCTGGGGGCATGTGTGTATCTGTGCAAGTGTGTGTTCTCTGAATTTTCCCAGCCTCGGGCCAGGGACCCTGGACCAGGGCTCTAGGACAAGCCAACAGTTTATCTGGGATGGAATTCTGCTTTTCCCAGGTAGGAAATGTGGGGAGATGATCAGGCACACCCCAGGTGTGAGAATGCAGCTGGGCTGGGGAGAACATTCAAGGCCTTTTTGCCTTCTCTTGTTCCTGACCCAGAAACCTCAACCAGGAGTTCCCCAGGGAGGGTCCTGAGCCTCAGTTTGTTTCTAACAAAACACACAACAGGCTGTCCTCTTCTGAGACCCAAGACCCTTTGTCACTGCCATGGATGGGCATAGTAGACCCTTCTGGCTCTAAGGACACAGAACAAGAAAAGAGATAGGAAGTCACTGAAGATAACAAACTCTTTCCAAGAGAGAAAATGAGCCAGATGCAGATGGCTCACACTGGAATCCTGGCTACGCAGCGGCTGAGATCAGAGGATCTCTATTTAAAACTAGGCCAGGCAAACAAATCTGAGAGACTCTATCTCCAGTGAACTACCAAAACCTGGAAATGGAGCTGTGGTTCAAGTGGTAGAGTACCAACCTTAAGGGGGAAAAATTAAAAAAACTAAGGAAGAGCTTGAGGCCCTGAGTTCAAGCCCCAGTAGTAGAGAGAGACAGCGACAGAGAGCAAAAGAGAGAGAGAAACAGAGTCCTGACCCAGACTCAAGGTATCTGATGACTTCCCCTCCCCAGTGGTTGCATCCCTTCCCCTACTTCATACCACTAGCCCTGCCAGCTAGTCTGTTCTCTTGCAGTCTGATGTGGCTGCCTCTGGCCTCCAGGCTACAACCCTTCCAGCTTCTGTGTCCAGGCACAGCCAGGAAAGCAAGGAACAAAACAGCTCAGAGCTGGAGGCCTGTGCAAGGCCAGGCTATGGATACATCTCCTTTAGCATGAGTCCCGGTCCCTTCCCCCTCCCCCTCTCCAAGGAGGCAGCACCATTTCTCCTAGGATCCTGGTCTCTGTCTTTCCCATTGGCTCTGCCAACAGCTCTGGCTGCTTCTTCTTTTCTCCTTTTTCGCCCCATTTGGCTTTCGTGTTTTGGTCTTTAGTTGTGGCTGCTGCTGCTGATTGGAAATCACATGTAAGCTGAAGACTTTTTTTTTTCCTGTATTTTTTCTCCCTATCTTTTTTCCCCCCTTCTCCTCCTCCTAAAGCCAGAAAGTGAGCAAGGTCGTAGAACTTCCCTAGAAAAGTTCACACGCAGTGTGGTAAGTTCAGTCAATTTTCTTCCCTCCACATTTCTTTTTGGTTTTGTTTTTGTTTTTTGGATTCCCCCCCCGTCTTTTTCTTTTTGATTGTCGTCTTCTTTTGGGGTGGGAGGGAATCAATGCTTTCCCCTCAACTCACCCTTTTTCTTTTGCGAGTGTCTGCAGCTTCTCTTCTGAGGATGGATTTTGCAAAAGAGCACGCGTTCCCCTCTGCAGAAGGTGCACAGCTGACCGCCCAGCCTCAGGCCAGGGCCTGTGATCTCTGTTCAAGGTTTTTGAGGAGGAAGGACCCCACTGCTTCTGAGCCTGTGCGGTTTGTGCATCTTCTGTAGCAGCCTGGGAGAAGGCCATCGAACATACCATGAAACAAATTGGCTTCGAACCATTGCTACATCTCAAAAAAAAAAAAAAAAAAACCTCCAAATTTCCCTCTGTGAACTCTGACAGTCACACTGGTGTGGGTCGAAAGCTGATGTTTGCTATGTGGGCAGCTTCGGCTGCATGCAGAATGCGGCCGTGCTGCATGGGTTCTGGCAGTGTGGTCTAGCTGGTGTATGTGTTAGCGGCCTCTGCATGAGCTCCAGCCTCCCTGCTAGATCCCTGTCGACTTCATCTGCATAGTGTGACCGGAGAGGAGGGCAGTAGCCCAGGCATGGCACTGTCCTGGGTTCTCCCCAGGGGCAGGGCCTTGTCAAGCTCCCCAGCCCCCAGTTCCTGATTCTGACAAGGAGCAAAAACAGGCTATCAGTTCATGGCTCTTATAGGAAAGTGTGCTTCCCTTCCTCCCACTCCTCCTAGATGCAAGAGGTAGAGGCCCACAGACTGAAAGAAGGGAGCCCAGGGTAACAACCAGTGAGGCCCGTATGGAAATTCTAGAGCCTGATCTATGGAATAACACATACCCTTTTCCCTTCCCATGTTGGGATCTCCAAAATTTGAGCATAGTGCTTAGTGCATAGAAAGCATTCTATCAAATGCTCACTCACTAACTTGTCGAAAACAAGCCACTGTGTCAGGCACGGGTGGCTCATGCCTATAGTTCTAGCTACTCAGGAGGCTGAGATCAGAGGATTGCGTTTTGAAGCTAGCTTGGGTAGGAGAGGCTGTAAGACTCTTATCTCCAATTAATCAGCAGAAAAAGCCGGAAGTGGTTCTGTGGCTCCAGTGGTAGAGCGCTACCCTTGAGCAAAAAGGAGCTCAGGGAAAGTGCCCAAGCCTACCCAGGACTGGTTTAAAAAAATGCCACTGAGTTTCTGTGGTCTTGTCTACCCTGCTAGCCTCAAACCACAGAGAACCAACATGGCAGCTAGGAACTGTGAACGGGTTCAGAAAACTGACTACATGGCACTGGCTACATTTCCTCTTGCCAAAGAGTAGAAACCTAGTGGTGCTAATTTGCTGTTTTACCACCTCTAATGCAGAGGAAGTCTTTGTAAACTTTGACTACTGTCTCATTAGTGGATTTATTTCATCCTTTAAACATAAAACCTCTGAACATCTTGGATCAAAAAGTAATCTTGCCGTTTAGCCATCATACTTAGATGTGTTTTACCTGTCTTTAAATATCATTTTGCATTTGCTATATGTAAAACCATAAATAACTCCAGTAGATGGCAGTTAGAATGTGGGTATTCATTCTTTCTCTTTGGAGGTCTTCCCATTCCATAGTCTTTCCTCCTTGGAAATTAGAACATGCAAAAATGCAAGGCCAGCAACCCCCTGGTCTGCCCTCAGGACTGGTTTGGCATAGCCATACGACTTCCCACACCAAGAACATGCCATAGGCTGTTTGAGGCAAGACCTATGGGAGAAAGTTATGGAGTCTTTCTCTATTTTGAGATCCAACTGCTATGAATGGATGATGTTTCTCGAGATTTGCTGAGCCAAGAATG